TTAGTTCACGTGAATAAGAGAGGCCCCGAAGAATATGATGAAATTGAAAGATCCTTATAACAGGTCTTTGGCATGAAGTGCGGGGTAGACCAAGGTAAAGGAGAGCTGCAGAAAACGAAATAAACTCTAGGAACCGCTTCACAGCTCAAAAAGCAGCAACTCCCCCAACCTCATTGTACCGCCGTGCTCTTTGCCAAATCGCTCATCAAAGCTGTTCTACACTGACCCGAGACCTCGAATGTGAAGCCTTTAGCAAAAAGAGTCCATACCACCAACCAGGATATCCATTTTGACCGTGAACTCCAGAGATCGATACCCTCATAAAAGACTGGTGGAAAAGAAAGAACTCATCAGAGAAGAGAAGTCGCGGCGAACTGGCTCCTGTCAATATGAAGCCATGAAAACTGAAACAGCGCACACTCACCACTACGCGAAGTGACTCGCCGGGAGCGTCAACGTGTCCTCCCCGCCTGTCAACCACTCCCAGATTTGTGGACTCAGGCCGTAGAAGCGGCCATAATGGTGTAGATAATCGGCCTCATCCAAAGAGTGGCGGCCGTCTGGCGGCGTCGTGAGCCCGAACCTCTCCGGACCTGCCACCAACACTGCCCAGATGATGGTCAGAGTGACCGTTGTACCGTCCTCGCTGTATAGCGACTGGTCAGGGTGCATGAGGCGGTAGACGACATCGGCTACCGTGGTCGCAGGCTCTGGAGCGGGGTTGGCAGGGTCGGGAGCGTAGAGGCCCGGGTTGAGTGGGCGGCGAGGGGAAACGGGTGTGGTTCCCGTCTCGAAGACGAGAGCCTGCGAATCGCCGGCGGTAGGTGAGGTGCCGGATGATGTGGCTGCGGGATTTGGCGAGCGAGGGTTCGGACTGGCTTCGCCGGTGGCGTCGCTCGTGGTACTGTCGAGGTCGCGGCCCCTGTCGTGAGCCTGCGGTCATTGAGTTAGATGCGGCGTGCTAAAAGATTTGCAGGGCTATCAACTTACTGAACCTGGGGTTCCGTCACTCATGGTCTGGCGCTCGCCCTTGCTGGGGGTTGTCGGCATGCTCTTGGATCCAGACATCTTGCTGAAAGGGTACTTGTTGAGGATGCGGATCGGAGTCGATGGAGCGGCGTTCGGGTGATGAACTCGTTGGAATCGTGAAGTTGGTTGAGGTAGAGAGCGGTGTTCGAGTGATGGGGTAATATAGCGCAAGAAGTCAACGGCTATATAAAGGTCGGCAGTGGCGTCGAAGCGAGAACCCGATAAGGTGAGGCAAAGAGATAACGAATATTGACCCGGGACGAAGGTGGCCCCGCAAGAACCGCTGCCCTCGTATCCTGGTTCCTAGCAGGGAAGACCCCGTCAATGATGCTCTTGAGCTGCGGGTCTCAGATTGCAGAGAACCTCGCTGACAAGGGCAAGAAGACCGAGACGGCTTAAGTACATCCAGGAGCGTAGTTTGTATAGCTTGAGCATGACCAGGGGCAAACGCGGTGAAACCGCGCTTTCGCGTCCACGAGGAAGACACGAAAGCAGCGGACCCAATATTAAACGCGTGAGCCTAGAATATCCACTCCAGAGACTCCGAGTACGCATACAGACCTGCCCACGAGTACGGGAAAGCGCGAAAGCAAGTGAACCTACAGCCGCGAGGATCATGGGAAACACAATCCGACACTCTTGCCAGTATATATGCTAGGAGAGAAGCACACTCTATAGCATGCACCTGCTCTCTGATGTTTAAGAGGACCTGCGACCTTGAAGTTGCAGGTGGCAGTGGGTAACTTCTCCTCGCCTTAGTTATCCTCATCTGGAACTTCATCGCCATGACCGTAATGTTCTCTGTAAGAAGATGCAGGACCAGCGTTAGCAGTATCATGGATTCACGCGCTTGTATAGGATCTGAGACCCTGCCCACGACGTACGGAATCGCAGGCTTGCATTGTGCTTGTACTTAGGGGCGAGGTGCGAGGTTGTCGGAGCCGAGGCATATCACGTGATGCGACCTTTCACTGCAACCACCCAATCACACGAAGCGACCAAGCTCGGCTTTATCCCATCTCAGAACGGTTGGTCAGTTTCTCAAGCCTTTTCCTTAAATTCCTAGCATCTCTATAGTAGCTTTTGCTAGCTACTGCTTTAGCAGAGGAGTTCCGTCGCAGCGAGACCTCGGGTAAAGTCCGGAGTTGATTCTTTCTTCTCGCTGGCCTGGACCTCACCACCAGCCTCTGTCTTGTCCTCGCCCGGCGCCTTCATGGTCAGATCGTTGGTCGTCGCGGGATTGATTCCCACGCATTGTAACAAAACCGAAAGGGTTCTCGTAGTGTGGGGCTTCAGCTGCCCCACGACGCGCTCCAAAGATGCGCGGAGCTGTGCCAGTGGCACAGCGCCTCGCACCTCTGCGAAGGTTGCCACAATTGAGCTCTCGCTCTCGCGTTGTTATCGTCGGCTTTGTCCTACTCCTCCGTCATCCAGCGCTCAAAGCCAGGGATCAGGCGCAGCAGGCGACCGAGGCTACTTCAAGTTTGTGTTAGCAATCGATCTTCGGCATTGGAGTAGTAAAGTAAGAGCGTGAAAGCCCAGGGAAGGTCTTACAGATTTCTTGCGAGCCATAATCTGAGGGCGGTTGGACTGCTTCTCGGTCCTGTTGGCAAGGCCGAGGTTCCTTCGCGGAAACCGCTTGAGGTCCGCCTCGCAGGTCCACGATGGACCTCGAGCGGAAGATCATGGAAACGATGGAGAGGAAAGCGCCGGGGGGCTTAAATTGATTAGCATGCAGTTGGAGTGGTAAAAGATGATTCGGGAGTTAAACGTACTCGACGGCGGGACCTCTTCTGGACGAAGCTCATTTTGTACTTGCGTGAACTTCTAATTAAACAAACTCATTCTGTGCTTGTGTGGTGTGGCAGAGATGAGGTGAGTGGCGAGAGGGCCAAGTGGAAAGAAGGTGCGAAATTACGCTAGGCTGAAACGGGGCAAGGTGACTAATGGATGACTGCAAACGACACGATATTAACGTCGGCGTTAGCTGAATGCTTGGCAGGTATGGTGCAGCTCTGAAGAACATTTTGGAGTAGTTCTGAGAGGTGGAGGGAAACGGAGGGGCGTGCAGTAAGCTCGGGCACCAGAATTCTCAAGGGTACCTTTGCGTTCACAATCTCAGCTATGTCAGCAACATACACCTGCTAACTCAGCACAGTTACGCCCTATTGAACCAGTTCCCGTATGGCAGCGCAGCACTCGGTCGATTCCCGCACAGTTTGTGCTCGAAGCACCGCGCTTACACCAAGATACTCTTTGTGGTGGACACGAGGACACAGAGGCACGGAGACAAGGAGACACGAAAATAAGGCGTTTGGAGAGGAATCACAAGGACGACTGAATGAGGAAGTCATCCTGACTCTGTACAAGCACGGCTCACTGAAACGAGTGCACAACGCAGTGCCTGTTCGATGCCCTCGGCTTTTGTCTGCCCTACGCCGCTTACATGAGAAGTACGAATTGTCCACATTGAAGTGACCTGGAAGGCGATATGATCCAGAAGACACAGCAAAGCTCAAGAAGAGGAGAGCCGGATACAAACGGCAGTTAAAACAGCACAGTACGCTGTTGGACTGACCCCTCAGCTTCTGCCCATCGTGCGACGCATAAGTTATTCGACACAGGCTCGAAGGGCGGAGTTGCGACGCACCTGCCGGTGACGCACGTGCACGAACTTGGTGCAAGAGCGGGATCTTTCGCACTGAGGTGTCTCGAAGATGATACAACAACTTAGAAGAAACCGAGGACCGCGACAAAAGAGCAATCAGAGCTTCCACTGCGCATAGATGTGTCTGGTCCACACATCGCCCCATGGCTATCCTTTGACATGCACATGCGCTGCACGCGCCTCTGAGGTTGTAGGTAAGATCCTGCGCGCCCAAAGCTCGCGGAAGCAACGTGATCGACGAGCATTCATGGACCGCCGAGGACACGGGGATGAGGGATCGCAACGTTTACTGGAATCTAGTGTTCTGGATAGATACCCTGAACCAGTTAGTATCATATTGGTGATCCTGGATTCTCAGATCAAGTCGCACACGCCATCGGGACTGGATCATGCAAGCTGCAAGTTCGGATTAGTCGATAACATTGGAAACGTATAATGAAGCGGGAATGGAAGAAGAGTGCCCCTGGTGGTACCGCGCAGGGCAGCGTAGTTCTAGTTACATCTCGGGGTAGCTTGCTACTAGAACAAGAGTCTACCTTGGGGTTTTTCCATCATAAGGACTTGAAATCGACTGGGTTCAAGAGGGTGCGCTAAGTAGAATGTCGTCCATTCGGGATGGATATCTTAGGATATGGAGAGTTTCGCAAGCCCATTGCGACGAGCCCCACTTAGTACTAGTGCGAATTGACTGAGGGAGAGATCGTGGCATAATCACTGCACAATCTTGAATGCTTTCGATCCGTCCTCTGGCTGTTTATTATTACTTCACTATTTATGCATCGTAAATGCTAGGTGTGAGGTCATATAGGTGGATTGGAAAGGATATTCACGTAAGAAGGGCTTGGAGCCTGGAAGGATGGATCGTGTAACCAAGTTCGTAGATAAGCTTTCTGCTGAACACAGAAAGGTGATTTAGTATCCGTAGTATCTTCTCAGATACTTTGCTATACCCGTCTGTGTATGTTACTAGCCGTACTCCCTCAATTTGCAAGCTACAGATACGTACAATGTTCGCGGTGAGGGAGCTTGAATTGCAGCAGAGGAGCGAACAATGTTGTGTTTAGTCTATGCTTGGGTCCGTAGGCGCTGAGGTGTATTTCGATAATAGAACTTAATAGAATACGAAGCTTCAGGCTGAAATTACGTGTATCAAGTCCGCTTTTTCCATCAGCTGTCCTTTACCTACCCCCTTCGCTCCCCGCTATTTCTAACTACATGACTCTATTGTCTACCTTTACTCTACTGTCTTTTATCTATTCTATATATCTTTAATACTTCTCAAAATTCCCATAATTCAATAAAAGCCTTGTTAGTGTAGTGGTAACACGACTGACGTTGTGCCCTTGGCTATCGTTTCTTTACTAAAGGGAATGATACCTGGGGGCAGAACCAAAGTCAACCCAGAGTTCAATTCCTGGACGAGGCATTATTCTTTTTTTGGTTATATTTTTGGACGGGGTTTCGGGATAGGTAAGGAGAGGTGAAGGTAGATGGGACCAAGGCAGCAGCACAAGGGAATAGCGGGAACGGAAGCGATTATCGAGAGACACCACGTAACGCTTGCTTGCATTATGCTTAGGCTTTATGCGTTCGAAGTGTAAGGGAATTTAGACTGCTGATATCAACGCTCGAATATCAGAATCAAACTCTATAACTCAACTCCACATACCGCACAGAACCTACAGACATGCTAACTGTTCCCAGATCAGCTTGGCGATCTTGCTATTCTGAGTGACGTTTCGATATTGCTCCAACATATACCTTTCGCTGTCAACCGATACCGCCGTGCGCAGAAGAAATCACGACGAGCTCTAGAGCTTGCCGCAACAATACAAAGGGATGCTAGGCAGATACCATATCACATTGAGAGTTTAAGGTCATCCGTCAGCTAGGCGCTTGAATAAGATGTGATGTCCAGAAGGTTGAGGGAAGAGAGATAGCACCAGTGCCGTTCGCGTCTCCGCTCCACCAGTGATATTCATGGAGGGAACGGAACGGAGTGGAGTATCTCCATACACTCTGGATATACTCCATGGAGTTTATATAGCTTAGTAATACAGCCGTTTTACCTAATTAGGCAATCCCGTAAACGTTTTTCCGTTTCCTTAGTGTTTCGCCGAGTCTCGGCATATAGCGTCTTAACGTTATCTCATCCCCTGCACTCATCGCATCTTCTAAATCTCATTACTGCCTTATCAATCCACCACTAAATTGCCTAGCGTTTTCGATATTGCTCCTATGCCTCGACGAAGCCTTGATGGGGCGCCTCGTACGCCTGCTAAGCGTGCGCGCAACAATGCGACGCTCGCAAGTAGCCAGCCGCTGTTTGTACACAATAACGCCTCCACAAATACGAGCGATACTCTCACCGAACTCGACAGCGCTGACGTACCCGTACCTACGCAGTTCTAGCAAACAAACAACGATAGTATAGAGGTTGTGTCACAGCGAGTGCAAGCAGTGCGTAGGGAATTGAGGATTGAACTGAGGTTGTATTGTGTGTAGCTACGAACGTAGATATACATGAGTGGCTGTAAACAGCGCTAGTGCAGGATGGGTAGTCGCACCTCAGCGTAGGTGAGGCGCCACTACACGTGAGGTAGGAGAGACTCTAAACCGTGACACACCCCCCAGCTGGCGTAGGCTCAAAGGCATTGAGTTGACGACAGCTGATTAGTATCAGTGTATGTAGAGGGCGTCGAGGTCGTCCCCAGCAGCCTGACGTAGGCCCTTCAGGCGCTCTGTGATGTCAACAAGGTTGAGTTGGCGGATAAACTCTGTAAATTTCTGCTTTGGTAGTATTTTCGTAAGTCCGTCGGCAGGCATACGATTAGTAGGAACCCATTAGACGTTGATTCGTGAGGCAGTGACCTCCTGTCGAATCCAGAGCTGGTGGATGTCGACGTGCTTGACCTTTGTATGAAGCTTGTCGTGCTTTTTCGTAACAATACCAACAGTCTGCTGATTGTCACACCAAATTGTAGGTGTACAGTCGAGCGTAAGGTTGATTCTAGTAAAGAATCGCATCCATTCCTCCATTTGCGAGGCAGCGAGAGATAACGAGAGCAATTCAGACTCTGTAGTTGATTTTGTGACTGTACGCTGTATAGTCGATTTCCAGTCAATCATGAGTCCACCAAATTTGAACGCGTAACCCTGAGAGCTCCGGCGAGTCTCAGGCTCGTCAGCGTACGAGGCGTCAGATGATCCAAAGAAAAGAGGATCGCGATATAGAGGATCGTTAGAGAGATACTCGGCCATGTCCTGTGCGCTAGCAGAGGCTTCAAGAGCGAGAGCCTTCGTGCTAAGCAGGTAGCGCCAGGTTTGGCGGATCTTCGAGACGTGTGACTGTCCTGGGTTGGTAAGGTAGCAGGCAAAGACGACGTGCGTTCGGGCGACGTCAGGCCTGCCCCAGACAGCAATGTATGCCAAGGAGCCAACTAGTTGCTGATAGAGCTTCGTTCGAGTAGCGTCAGGCTCCTCGATAGACTGCGGCAGCCAGTTCTCTATTAGTGGGACGTCTGGAGCCTTGCCTACAGCCTCAATACTAAATCGAGCGCACACCTTATCAATGAAGGCGTCTTGAACAAGCCAAGTCTTGTGTAGGGCTCGATCGCGGACAATTCGGATGCCAAGGAACCATGTAAGGTCTCCTATAGCTTTGATGTTGTATAGGTTCACTAGATCCTTCTCAAAGGACCTGTGGAGATGAGCGTTTGATTAATGAAATGCCATAACGATGTCGTCAACGTAGACGAATAGGATAAGCCAGCGATTCGTGTACAGACACGGAAAGCCCTCAACCGGTTTTAGGCCTAGCTTGATAAGCTCGCGGCGTAGCTCGTTGTACCATAGTACAGGTGACTCCTTTAGGCCGTAGAGAGCGCGGAGTACTATCATAATCTCGCCTTCGATATAGCGAAAGGCCTTAGGTGTTTCAGCGTATAGCTTGCGATCGATCTGAGCGTTCAAGAAGGCAGTAGGAACGTCGTACTGCTTTAGCTCTAGATCGAAGTAATTGGCGATCGCAATTAGAGCGCGAAAGTTGCGGATTGCGAGTGTAGCAGCGTACGTGTTCTCGAGCGGAGCTTGGAGGTCGCCTCGAACGACTAGTCGAGCCTTGAAGCGTAAGAGATATCCATCTCCGTCTGTTTTGTAGGTGAAAACCCACATCAGAGGTAGCACCTCAGCGTCTGCAGTTGCCTTCGACTGATCTGTCTGGCCAAAGACGTCTTTAGCGCGTAGGTCTCGCTATTCGATTTCCATAGCGCGTCGGAATTGATCGCTAAACATGTGTGTACCAAGCTGCTTTACTGCCTTCGGCAGAGGCGGCAGCTGTGATTGATGGATTCGCGGTATCTCATCTACTCCAGCGGGTATTGAGTGAATTTCGGTCGAAAACGCTCGCAGGTAATTAACTAGAGGCTCAGGTCCTAGCTTCGTAGCGTAGGACTGGATAGCAAAGTTGTCTAGATTCCTTGGTTTTCGACTGCGCTTGCCTGTAATAATAAGGCTTGTGTCGGTTGGGTCGAGATTGACGTCCTGTGGAGCTCTCTGGCCTCGTCGGCGATAATTCTCAGGTACCATCAGAGTTGAGTCAACCTCAGAGGGTTTAGGAGTTGGCAGCTGTTGCTGAGTTGATTCGAGTACGTCGTCAGTCGTCTCACCCCCTACATGGGAGCTTCCAGCTGTTGGAGCTGAGGTCACAGGTGCTGTTTGGCGGCTGCGCTGACGAGCAGTCAACAGGTCTTCGATGCTAATATCGTCGTCCTGTGGCATCTCTGGATATTCGAGTAGCTCGATCACCTCCTCGATTACTGACGTAGAGGCGTAGCCGTCCATTTTCTCGAAAAAGAGCGTAGGTTCGAACACAACGTCACGTGTAACGATGACAGTATCCTTAGTAGGCAGCCATATACGGAAGATATTGGTGCCTTGGTAGCCAACCAGGTGGCCAATAAGAGTACGCGATTCAAGCTTGTTAGCAGCTCTCAGATCACGGTTGTAGACGTAGGCGCGACAGCCGATAGGCCTCATATGAGCGACGAGTGGCTTTCGTCCCCATACGACCTCGTACGGTGTCTTCCAACCTAGTGCTTTAGTAGGCGTTCGATTGAGAATGTACGCGGCTGTGCGATACATCTCATGTGATAGATTCTTTGGTAGGTTCGCGTGTATGCGCATAGCGCGAGCTCGCTGAGTAAGGACTCCGCCTGCGCGCTCAATGAGTCCATTCGGCTCCTTTGTGCTGGGTGGAGCTGGCTCGTACAGCATTCCCAGTTCGTCTGTGGTGTTGATTAGATCGTTGCCAAATCCCTTTTCGTTGTCGCATCGGATAGCGACTACGTCAGCATTGTACACGCGCTGAATCTTGCGAATCAAGGCCATGAACCAGCGTGTGAGAGTCGGCTTGTCCTTTCGCTTGATTGTAGCTATCTCATGCCATTTTGAGTACTCGTCCATCGAGTGCGGAGCGTATTTGCTACCGTCGATACACTCCTCTCTCATAGGGATAATGTAGATCAAGTCTATCGCGACTCGATAGAATGGTCGTTGTGCACGGCTCTCAGCCGGGCGCCTCGAGATGATATAAGTTATTCGAGCTTCGATACACGTCTGGCAGAGACAGTCTATATAGTCTCCTGTCAGTTGGACACCAGTGACGTTTGGTTCGAGTTGATCGATAGCCTTCCGGCCTGGGTGGCCCCATATCAGATGAGCAGCACGTCGATCGACGACGTTGGTGGGCTTTGGCGCGTACGACGGGCGGTACGATGCTCCAAAGGTACTCAATCGTGAGTGTAGAAGTGATAGAGGGGGTCGGCGTGATGGCTCTGCATCAATGAGCCAGTGTCCCCCATTGTACTCGAGTTGCGCGATGACGTTCGATGTCTGTCGCATGTACAGGACGTCGCGGCTAGAGTCGAAGTGAATTGACTCTGTACGGCAGCGAGCGAGTCCTAGGACGCTTGTGAGAAAGCCTTCGACGTACGCAACGTGCGTCAGCTCTAGCGTTAGCAATCCATGTGGCGTACGGGCTACGAGGTCCATCGTGCCCCAAGCTGTAATAGGAATACAGCTATTGCTAGCATTGACAGAGCGGCGCTCTGGGTTGTCGCTCGTCCTCTTCTAGCCTTTCCATGTCTCTGAGTTGACAACGTGTGTGTTGGATCCAGGATCAACAATCCATCGATTAAGTAGGTTAGTCTGAGTAGTGTCATCAACAGCCATTGTTGTAAGAGTTCCGACAGACTCGGTGAGAGCTTCGATCGCGATACCGTTATGACCGTCGTGACCGTCGTGGCCAAGTGTCATGAGTGATGGGCCAGTTGATATTACGAACGTGTCGGTGTTGGCAGGTGGCTTGCCGTCGTCAACCCGTAGTGAGCCAGCGCTCTAAGGTTGGCGAGCTGCCCACCTCTCAAG